TTTCTCGCCTCAATGGTAATACCCAACTCACTTAAGAAAATTGTTCCAACCGGCTCAACAGGGGGGGGGGACTCTAATCTGAAACATTCATACGGGCATTTTTCGCTTATACTCCCCGGAGAAATCTAAGATAAACCTGGCTAGTGGCGAAGTTTCACATTATTTAATACTAAATGCTGATGGTAATGTGGATTTGTGTACATAGAACAAAGAGAAATTCATTCCCACAGGGTTTTAAGGTCTGTATCTTAGGTTTTAAGGGCTGTGGCTAGTTGCAAATTTGTATTCACTATTTATTTATTGTTCACTTTTATGATGCTTTTTCACTAAACCAACTCAATAATCACATCAAAGTCTTATATTGTTCCTTATTTCAACAATAAATGGCAAATAACCTTTTTAGTTAATTTCAAATGCATGTTCTCATTAGCAATACCATGAATTTGCAATGGGTTATGAATAATGTTGTCATCTGCTAATTGAATTAACGATATTTTCAGACACCAACATAATAATACTGCTCTTCCTTTTTTTTTTTTTTTTTTTTTTTAACCAGCCTTAGCGCGGTATTTTACACACAAACAAAAGAAACTTTATCAAACCTCATGAGTTTTCAAAACATGCAATATCATCTAATATTTTATTTATTTTATTGAGGAATTCATTAATGTTTGTCTATGGTATATTGATTTAATAACAACAAAGGATACGAACTGTTTTACTTCTCTAACTTATTAAGTCCGAAAGGAAAAAGCCGCGTACAACATAAAAAAATGTTGATACGTGTGTGTATAAATACACAAAAAGGATTATGGAGTAAAAAAAAAGAGTTTTTAATATGTTCCAAGTCAATATTACACACGTTAAAGGGTCATTGAAAATCGGGACAATGATCCCGAAGCAACAGGTGATCATCCCCCTTACCTACAAACACGGTTAGGAGAACAGGTAAAGGTGGGGTAACTTACAGCTGGTGAAACGACTTGTAAACGGATTAAATTTTCATTCTCCCTTGTCTATTTTAAAATCCATTAAATCTCTTTCAACAAGTTTTCAAAATTTATTTCCAACTATATTTATTTTTACGGTTCGATATAATGTTTTCTGTTTGACAGTTTACTTTATTGCTTTAAAACAAATAAATTAAAATTAACTAAGGTTTTCAGTTGAGATAAATTAATTAATTGTAAGATATTAATTGGTCAAGCGGACCAAGAAACTAGTGAATTAAATAAATTAAAATTAAAATTCACTATTTTTTGTGGTCCGCTTGACCAATTAATAACATTCAATTAATAAAGGTTTTAAGTTGAGATAAAAAAGTCAGTGTCACGAGCGGGATTCGAACCCATGACCTTCGGGTTGATACGCTGCTACTCTACCACTTGATCTATCGTGACTTCGATCCCCTCGGGCACTAACTTCCCATCTCAACCCCACCTTTTGAATTTTCCCTCCTTTTTGCCATATTTTGTAGAGTAGCGGCGTATTAAGTCGAAGGTCGTGAGTTCGAATCCTGCTCGTGACACTGACTTTTTTATCTCAATTTAAAACCTTAATTAATTGAATGTTATTGACGAAAAATTATTATGAACGAAAAAAGGTTTCCTCTATAGAATTTAATGATTGATTGGTCAATACTATTAACAGACGAAGGATTTAACTAAGGAGTTTTTAACAAGCTACTAGTGAGGTTAAATTGAAATAGATAAAACGTTTTTCAAGAGGTTAAATATCACAATTAGCCTGGCTTTAATGCAAATTATATTGAATAAAACTTTATTATTTTCCAACAAACTATAATTTTTTGGCCTCGCGCCATAACACATTGCCTCCGGTTTTCTTCTATTTTTCTAATAGATCAATATTTATATTCGAATTTCGTCAAATTTCATTAAACGATCTAATACTTTTAATGCCTTTATGTTTTTTGCATTAGATACTGTAGTTTGAATGTTGATGGGAAGAGTTGATCCTTGGGTGACTAGCCCATGGAATATTCGTCCTTTATGGTGGCTTCCCTTAGACATTCCAGAAATACATCCGGATTGGCTATTTGCGTTAATATTGCAGCAACAATAGGGGAAAATAATAATGTTTAGTCTAACCATATGGTAGGGGAGCAATTGTTGTTGAAACGCAATCTAATGATGAAGGTAATAAAGTCTCTTGGGCCATGTATTTTGGAGAGCCAAGACTAATTTTGGATTTTTGCTTGTTTCGATTGGTCATAAGTTGTTATCTCCTTCCTCGTGCATACTTTTTACAATATTTTATAACCGCAGAATTTTTTGTTGTTCTTTTCATCTTACATAAATATCTATACTCTATTTTTTAATACTAATCACCACACACTTTAATAATAACAATGTTTTTAATTTTCTTTTTCGAAATTTGAAACTTCAGCTCACTTAAGGTAAGAGATTGAAACATCACGATAGATTCCGGATTCATGTTTGTGTACTTCTTCATTTATTACTAATTGTGATAAGTTTAGATTGTTGCAAAATAATAATTTAAAACACATCTAAATATAATATTACATTCGATAAGAGTATTTCCATAAATAATTACACACGATCATTGTTATTGTAATTTGGCAAAATTTGGAACGTTTAACGTCTAAAAAGGCAAATAATGCACTGATAAATACCTACCACCCTTCTATAAAATGTACCAGAAAAAAAACTAAGCAGATGAAATTAATAGCTGTTATAACTAATAGACACTTTATAGAATTTAATATTTAAATCCGTACGTCTAAACCTGATAACAAGTAATTGAACTAGAGCAGTGTTTCCCAACTTTTGTTGTGCCATGCCCCACTTGAACTGTTTCAAGTCCCTTCTGACCCACCCCTCAACCCCAAAGTACATAATCTATAATATTAAAATGCTCACTGAATAAAGTTAACAATTATTGCGAAAATCACTGTAGAATAATTGATAAAAAAAACAGTAAGCAAATGATTTTAAAACCCCGAAAATCATCTTAAAAAATGAATATGATAGTTAATAAATTATTTGATACTGAAATCATCTTGTCATGTTCTTAAATTTTTAAAGCAAATTTTATAATTATGATAAATATAAAGAGACTGCGATCCAACATGGTAACATCCCATCAATCTGAGATTCAAGTCCAAAGTACTTTTAGAAAGGGTCTGGATGATACAAATTATACTTCATTGCAAAATAGTTGACTTCTCGCACTTGAACAAGTGTATCGTTGAAATATATTTGCCGGACATTAATTAATATCCACCTAAATTACAAAAAAAGAATATTTCAGTGAATAAAACTTTATTTTCTAGAAAAGAGAAAAAATTCCTATATATTTGATTGAAATTTCGAAATTTAACAAAATATCAGATAAAATGCAGTTTTCCTCATGTAAATTATAAACTTAGAAAGTAATACGATTCTCGAAATTTGTTTAATTTTATTTATTTTCCATCATTTATAAATCAGTTATATTAGTTCGCAATAGCAAAATTCTAATTAATGTTATTTTATGTGAAATATTGCGATGTTTTGTTCAGTACGAATATCATCACTTGCTTGATTATCAATTTTTGGGCGATTAAGTAGGTTTATTTCTTAAATTATGGGGGTTGAGCTCATAAATTTAATAATTAATCATTCTACATTAAAATTATGATACAAAAAGATACGGATCATCAATTGCACAGTATTGTTTGCATATAAAAATTGAAACGCTCCATCTTATTTTCAATTCATTGCTTTATAGATTTAGAGTAAACTGTAGAGGTGTTGAAACGCAAAAGCCAGTATTGGTAACACATTATATAAGCCTATAAGATCACATTTATGGTGTTATTTAATATTTATTGAAATTTTAGCTATAAGTTTTTTCCTTTTCATAAAAACACTAATAACTCTTATCTATCTGCATTTGAATATTTTTGTTAAATTTACTCAAAGATTAACAAAAATTCGTTTGTCATTCTTCTAGAATTAGGACCTTTAAAAACTAAATTAATTTAATTTGACAATTTAATACACATATCATCTACTTGGGACTTTAAACAAATATAATGAATTACGAAAAAGTGAGGCTTTACAAATATTTTAAAGAACAATAATTTAAATTACTGTAGCGATATAACTTACTTGAAACGCTGGGAAAAAAGGATACTGACAGTAATTATTACGGGATATTAAAAATTGGCACGTAATGCTTGAGGATCGGAATAACCCGAGGACCGACAAGTAAATTCAGCTATTTCATGGCGAATAGAAGCTGTACTACTATATTCGATGATTTTTCATTTAAATGACGAATAAGAATCGGCACATTTACCAAAAATTTAAATGATTTATTTTCCAAATTAGGCCCCGTAAAACGTAAGATCCCCCCACCCAGCTTACGCTTCTCTTTAGGAAACATGGAATTAGAGGGTTTTAATTTAGAGCCATAACTTTGATATGTTAACCCTAACAACAAATATAACAGAAAATATGCTAAACAAGGTATGTTTTTACGGCAAAAATTATTTTATAGTCTACAAATTACAAACTGATAGAATTTTTGGATTGTAAACACCTGAATTTCTATGTAAATCTCTTCAAATCCGAAATTGTCTCATCATCATATTAAATACTGATAAGACTTACGGATGTGAGAGGATGAAAACATGACGGCTTCAGATAGCAGCATGAACTAGGCAGAAACATTGTGTTTTACCGCCTGTTTTAACAATCAATAATGAAAAATCGCTTTATAAATCAGAACACAAGGATGCAGAATAATTGAACGTTTGTTACAGTCGAACACGTGTTCGTTTTAAATTTGAATGCCAATGCCCCTTTGCACTCTATTTCCGAGAAAGCCTGTCTGGAGCTACTTTATGCGCTTATGCAATCACAATTGCTTAAAAACTGTATGAACAGGTGTTTTTCCCCTTGTGATATTCGTGGTGCAACGAGTCTCGCGAGTTTTACAATTTTAGATAAAATCATGCTAATTTTCGTACTTGCCTGGTTCGGGGAAGGTGATGATTTCGGACGTCGTTGCGAAAAAATCGTCGCGACCCATATCGTGGTCGTCGTTGAACTTTTTTGAAGTTGGCGAGTTGTTCGAGACGTTAGGCCCGTCGTTGGCTCTGTACAGCGTCTCAAGAACGAGGTCCCTCGGCATCGAGGCACCACTAACGTTCGGCCTTGCCCGGAGGCCGAGTTTGCTTAGAATTTGGTGCTTAATCGCTTCTAGTCTAATCGCCTCGCTTCTGTCGTAGTATTTTCCTTCTTCTTCGTTACGCAGTAGACAGTTAGGGCACATTGTTCCACCTGTCAAAAGAGGAATTACATAATTAACTCCATTCTGGACCCCCATGTATAACAAGTGGCATTTAAAGGAAAAAGTGATAAGTTACAATATAAAAAAATATTTATTGCAATACTAAGATTATCTTTTAATTACACCGTTAATTATTAAAGTGAAGCAAATAATATTGAATATAGACAACAAAAGAAACGTTGAAATTGTATAAATTTGGTACCACCATAAACAATAAAAATTGATTTTCTACTTCATTGCTGCAATGTAAATATATAAATAAGCAATGTAAGTAAAATAAGACCATACCCTGGGTAAGTATGTTTGTAATTCGAAATTGTTCGTAATTTTCGTCTAGTGAGTATAAAGATAATACATGAATAGTAGGAGAAAAAAATGTAAAGAAGCAATGAATTAAGATATCTAAATCTGGTAATTTTTTTCAATTAACCAATTTTGAAATTATCTTTTAAGCTTTCGCAGAGCCAGAATACACCTTAATATTTACCCTTTGTTTTGCTTCCTGGCACTAATTTCACGTTTGTATCCACGTGTAATACATAGTACTACTAATATTTTTCGATGTAATAAACATCCCTTACAGTTTAATTCTAATTGATTGAGAGAGCTGTGAGCAGCGGTAGCTTTGTGAACGGTTTCTGCTAATGTATGTGCCTAAAATATTTTTAAAAAAATGTTTTCTTGATTCGCGAGGTCCATTAGTGTCTAATATGTCTAATACATATGTCTAATATTTTTGGACCTAGACACTAAAAAACGTTTCATTGTGTGAGATAAATAATAAAATAACAAACGTAAGAAAAAGTGAAATCTGGATGACTGTAATACTTGGAACGAAAACAAACACTCATAAGGCTCCTCAGTATAAAACTGAAATTAATCCATTTACGTTTTAGTGGTCAATTGATCAAGTTACTTTTTTCAATTAATTATTCTTTCTATGTAAGGTCTTGGTTGAGACAAAAAAGTCAGTGTACGAACCGACGACCTACGGCTAAATAAGCCGCTACTCTAACACGAGCTATCGTGACTTCGATCCTCTCGGACACCAACTCTCCATCTCAACCTACAACCGATCGAATTTTCCCTCTTTTTTGCCATTTTCAAATGTCGTGTAATCGGGATTGGATTCTCAGCGACTTATGAAGTGGCCATGGGGAGTAAGCTCGTGGGTTCGAATCCCGCTCGTGACACTGAATTTTTTGTCTCAACCAAGACCTTACATAGAAAGAATAATTCGTCAATCGCGAATTTGAACAGTGTGTTTTCAGTGTCAAGATCACCAGATACTTTATATATATATATATATATATATATATATATATATATATATATATATATATATATATATATATATATATATATATATATATATATATATATATATATATATATATATATACTCCTTCACAACTTCACACAAACATACACCCAAGATAATTGCTTCTTTTCCTAATAAATCTATCTTTTCAGCATTTATTATGGCAGCGTGGGCCTTCATCCACTAAGAAAGTGATTTCTTTCTGTTTCGTTTTGATGTAGACCAATTTTGATAATAAGACGTAAATAAAATGATTATTGGTGTTTCTAATGGCAACATAATCGTTCCAGCGAGTTTAATTAGATATTCGTAATTTTTATGTTGGTCTTAAAAAGGACGCCCATTTACAGCCAACGTTACTAATACAGCATCTAATATTTCAACCTTTAATAATACTTTAAATAATTTTGGATTTCTATAAACTATACGTACGATATACCTTTTTCAACAATAAAAGTCCTGTTAAATTTCAATAAGATATATCTATTTTAATAATACCCGCATTCAAAGGAAATTGTTGATAAACTTTAGACATGTATAATTGCTTTTTTCTCTTTATTTCAAATGTTCGGAATTTTCGTAAAATAAAAAATAAAATATCCTATGAATAAGCGTATTTTCATAACGAAATCCTACGAAACGTATCCTAATTAGACAATTATTGCACTCGGAATATAAAAAATATAACATCAGATTTTACACCTGTAAATTAATTAAAATAGTGAACCGAAGGTACTAAGAACAAAAACAGAAAATATTGCACAGCCCTACATTCAAAACCTCATAAAATTGATGACGCGTTGAAAGCAAGCGGTGATCAACGTAAGAGGAAGAAATACTCCGTTCTGAATTGAATGCTTTCTTCATTGATTCCATAGTAACATTTTTAGAAAAAACTTTTACTTTAGCTATATCTCATAATTTTCATTGAAAATATCCAGTAAACTAAAAATGATAACAATTGACAGTATGTACTTTGAAAAAAAAAAAAAAAAAAAAAAAAAAACGAAGGTGGCCACTTTTTTTACCCCTCAGTGTAGTTCAAAAAGTCTTTCTTGAAATTTTTTATTTGTTCTACATTTCACATTTTTTAACGATTCATATGTACCACCTCACCAAATTGTAGCAACTTTGAGGAAAAACACAATTTGTCTAAGTTAAATACAATTTAAAATCCCCAAATTTAGAACACATCCCTCGGCTCTTTCACTACACACTATTTGTTTTTGTGAATATAAACATTTTCTATCCATTGAGCCGGAACAAGAGAACCGGCACGGGAAAATTCAGCTTCCACTAGGCAATTTTTCGACATAATTTCACGTTCCAACAGGCGTAATTTTTATTCACTACTCTCCCGCCTGTGTGGCAATAAATGTTATTTTAATTATCCACCCAGACGGAAAATAGAAGTTTCGAATGTGCCCACTTAACTGGAAATTTGAATATGAACCAATAAATCTGAAAAGGTCATTTGGTAACACGTCATTGAAACATGTTTTGAAGTGATCATACAAAGAGCAATTTTATGAAATGGAAATAGTAAGATGAAGAATGTTTTTTTATACAATAGAGTATATTTTACTGAAAAAAGTAATAAATTAAAATAAACAAAATTGTTCGAAAGCATGACGTAACGTAAATCATTGAATAATAAACATAATTTACTTTAAATTAACATTGCCCTTTATTAAAAAAGTTGCTTCTTCTGAAGATCTTGTATAAAGATCGGTGATCTGGATAAGTTTTGAGAATTTAGTTAAATTATTTTAATCAAATAAACATAATTTTTATTATTACGGTTTTTAAATTAGATTTTAATATTAACGATAGCATAATTTTGTTTTATTAGTGGTTAGTAGTATTATTAGTTATTCAATGTTTTTCCTATTAGACAAAGCACGGCACTTGTACTGATTGATTTATATGGGGGAAGCAAGCGTGAAAGAAAATTCCAAAGGCGTCGATAGGAAACGAACCAACAACCGCGGGGATACACGATAACCACTCGGCTACCTTAAAATTTTTAATAAAAATAATAAAATAATTATTAAATTACGTTTTATGTAAAAAGTTTTGAATGCTGAAGACGAGGCAGCGCTGCTTCCGAAAATATTCGTTTTATACATACGAAAAAGAAAATCCAAGACATACTATAACTTCGTTTTGTTCAAAGTCATTTATTGCTAATGTACAAACACAGAGTTTATATTGTATCAAGTAAAATTTGCGCTCCATATTGGTACCTCTTCACTGTGTAGCGAAAAATACCCTAGGCTGCTTTGGCTACATGTGCTATAACATTTTTTCATGTATACCTGTGGCACGTAAAGATTACAAAAAAGAGTTAAGTAATCACGGTTGCATTTGATTTTCTCATACAGCAAACTAGATCTAGGTATCTATTGTGTATCAAGATTTTGTACAGAGATCGTCGGCTCGTCTTTTTTTGTCAATTTGCTAGTTGTTTAGGGCAGGTGCTCAAATTCTTTTTAAACAAACAAATGTCGCAATAACTGAGCTAGATGTTGGGAATCCATTACAGTTCAAGGGCTTTCTATCGTTCCTATTTTATACAACTACACGTATTTAATTTTTATATTTAGATTATCCATTTCATCCAATTTTTCATCCAAATATCTGTATCGTCCGAAAAGTACGAAATATATCCAGTCATGTTATCATGAAGGTTACTTGCTATAATAAGGTCATAAAGAAAAGAAATGTAATCATGGATTCCCTGTGCCAATTCTTGGAGCAAACCAGGTTATTTGTTTTTGTAGTACTAATAGTTTTGTGTTTAGCAGGTGGTGAGAGTGAAAGTCTTTATTAGCGTGAATGTGAAGTCTGATAGGGCCAGTACGCTGCATGTATATTCGTGATTGAGCATTCCCATCGGCCCTCAATTAAGTTAGTTACATAAAAGGTATAAAGGGAGGAAGAGGAATATCTAGTACTCCCCCACATTAAATGAATGATATGTAAATAACAGACTGTATTTAAGCGTGAGTGAAATTAGGGGAAATGATTTAAGAAGTGATTGTGTTGGGGGCTGAAATGATCTAGCTGTTGATAGCCCCTGGAGACCAACCACGGCGGCTGGACGAATAAGACCCCGTGGTGGGTGCTTCTCGAAACCTACCGGTAATTTATTTATTGTAAATGATACAAAAGCTGGAATTACCGGTGGACTGCAAGAAGTAGTAGCCTCAACTCTGTACACACGTGTATGTATGAATATGTACAGATTTCAGCTTGTATAAATCAGTAATATTAAATCATGCATGTACTTAAATATTAAATATTTAAATTCGTTAAAAAGATTATTATTTATAAAAAGTACAAACATACAAAATCACAGCTATGCTGCTTTTGTCAAAGGCACCCTCAAGTGTCTTTAACATTGGGGCTTCTGACTTTTTTTAGAATGAAATTAGCGTGATAAAACTATTAATCTGGTGTGCGTAAAACTACATTTGTTAGTCTAATTGTTTTAAGGATTTTTTCTAAAAAAGATAAAAACTAGTAAACTTGGTAAGGTTTAGATATTTTTGCCTTAACTTGAATGCTTCTTTACTAGGATGTATAAATAATTATTTACAAATTCTTCTAATAAAATTTAATTGCAAAAATAGGATATATTTTTGGCTTGTTCTCCAAAATATTGAG